AGAGAGAAAGAAAGAAAGAAAGAGAAAGAAAGAAAGAAAGAAAGAAAGAAAGAAAGAAAGAAAGAAAGAAAGAAAGAAAGAAAGAAAAAGAAAGAAAGAAAAGATGTGTGAGGCTCCTATTCCCTAGGGTTTATTTTGTACTTTCAAAAATTTGAATCTAAAAGTTAACAAGTTTTAAGAGGTTAATTTGCATATTTGTTTTGTAGGTTTTTAATAAATATGAATTAGTTTCCCTTCTAACCAATGTCAAGTTAAACATCCAAGGAAGTTAAAAAAAATCATTTACCAAAGATTTTAAGGTTTTGTTTCATTTGATATCAAAAAAGCAAACCACAACTCATAAAATAATATCACCAAGTAATTGTATCTAGAATCTATAAGAAGATTCATCAAATGGCTGCATTATACCTCAGAGGAGATCAGAGGGTTCTATGAGCTAAGACCTAAAGAAATATATTTGATTGATTAAATTAATTATTTTACTGCTTAATCCATAAAGTCTCAGGGTTTTTACTATGTACACAGCTTTCTATGAATTCAAAGATGAACTCAGGTCTTTCTGATTCTAAAATTTATGCCCTTTCAATTCCACATTTAAATAGCCTAGAAATCTCTTAGGACTAATCTACAGCATCATACCAGAGAGGTGGATTGACATTTCCTGCTTCTGTACCAAGATGTTCAACAAAAATGGCATACTGGCCTCAAGGAAGATTTAGACACAGATGCTATCTTTCTACATTGTTTTCCTCTGTGTTTATTTTGTGTGAGCTGCAAACCTGATAACAGTGGATCTAAGTCAAAGACTAATGTATCAAATGTGTGTTGTGTTGGGTGTTTGTGTTGACCTATGTGGGCACTTGAAGAGAAAACAAACTGTTAGTGAACATGGATGTGTTCATACAGATCAGCTGAGAGATGAGAGTAGATGTGTGAGACAGCTGTGAGCAGTGAACCTGATGAAAACATCTGACGACTCTGGAGGAAGAAAGGAGATGGAAGATTTTTGGGTAGAAGACTCTTCCAACTGCCACACAGTTCCAAGTTTGTTAATGAGAAGCCCTCAGTCCAAGGGGTGCTGCATCTTATAGGAAAGGGCTGCCTTTTACCCACACTGTGCTGTCATTGGCTGAAAGCAGCCCACCAGGAAGTATGGTTTCAAGGAAATGCTTCAGTTCATCCAGAGGAGGAGATGAAGTGCTATCACTGAATTAGTTATGTTCCTCCTGCAAGAGATCTCATAGTGTATTTTTTGGCCACTACAACTAATGCACTTTTTGCAACATTTCTTTCCATCTCAAATAGAGAGGCTGACTAAATTAATGACTTCAACCCATTCCAAAGATGAGCTATTTCAAGGACTGGTAAAGGAGAGTAATTTATTTCATAAACTTTTATTAAGCACAAACCATAGTCCAGGCACCATGCTATTTGCCATACATAGGGAAGTAATTGAAACGTAGCCTCAAAGAACTTGTAAGTACATTTGTATGCGACAGAAGAAAATAATATGCAATGAGTGGGTATTACATGCTAAAACCAAATAAGATGTAGTTTATCCTTTTACCATGCTTATGACGTAGTCACCTACATGAAGAACTTAAAAAAAACACAAGTACCAAGTATAAAGAAAAGTAACTCTCACAGTTGACAAATATTAGCAGTAAGGCAAATACTATATGAGAAAAACTGGACATCTTCATTTTTAAGATAAAAGAATTTAGGATTTGTCAAGTGATATAAAATCTTTTCACTAATAAGCTGCTTTACTAATTAAATCTATTAATATAACGGCAAAGAAAATAAATGAAATTCTTTCATTGTATGTGGGGAGCAAAAATAAATAACATGGCTCAAGCATTATTAGTGACTCTCTACAGTGAGAAAATGAAAGCAGAGAAGGGGAATAGAAATTTGAAGAGGTGAAAAGGTTGACTGAAGCTTTATGTGGATGTAGGAAGAATAAAATCTGTACTAAATCACAATAACAATTCATTAATTTAAGTTTTTATTCATGTTTTTACAACAGGCAGTTTTTTGTAGGTGCCAGATGGTAAAAACACAAAGATTAATGAGCCATGATCACTGCCCTCACATTGCCCTCTGAACAGTGGGAGAAAGAAAGCAAATAATCAATATCACATCTCAAAAATGCTAATTTATGAGCTAAAAGTGAAATATCAATATATCTTTATTTTCACATTTCTAAGCAAACCAGTGATGGAAATAATGATAAATTTCACCACATAAACAGAGGTTAAACCCCTTGATATCAAGCAAATCAATAATTGGCAATGTGATAATGGGTGCACTGTAATTTTTTAAACACTCCAAAGAGCCACCTAAATAAGTTAGGGTGGTAAAGAACACACACACACACACACACACACACACACACACACACATAAACACATTCGCAACATTCTCAGTGAAACTATGCACAGAGCACTCAATGAGCTTGATCCCAGGCATACGTGTGGCCAAACTACCAAGAGCTGAGTGACCTTCAAAGATTAATGACAATGCATTATGAGTGTTGAGGACTCCAAGGTTAATACGCACTAGTTTTACAAGCCATGGAAACCAAAATTATTTTCCAAAATAATTACAATGAAAATGGAATGATCCTATTAAAATGGAAGCTGGAGGAAAGGATTTGAAAACAACATACATATCTGTATGGAAAATGTCCCATGGGAGCAAATGTTGTTTGTGAATAGGAGACAATCAAACAGAGCTATGTCAATGTAAATCTTTGGGAAAAATAGAAAATTCTCATTTTATTACACAGAGCCTTACTCTCAAGAAACACAACTGAATATGTACTGAAATGAGCAGAGCAAGAGCACTCTGTGTAAAAAGAGAGGCGTTTTTGATGGTTTTCTGAGACCATTCAGAGGACAGGAGTCTCAGGAAGTGGCATAAAGCGGAAGTCTGAAGCTTGTCTGTAGCTCATGGTGAAGCAGGCAGTTGAAGACTGAAATGTATTCTGATCTAGACCTAAATTTCAATCACAGAAAAACAGCTACAAAGAGGCTGTATTTTAAGTATTTCTACTAACAGAAAGGAAACTCTCAATCTAAGGGGTTCACCACAGGAAAATCATCCTACAGCCTAAGAAAACTCACAACATTAAAATATGGAAATGAAAAAAATCATTATTATCTCCAACTTTTAGCATTTTCATTGACGAGAAAATAATGAAAATTAACCTAATGATATGTCAATGAACAGAGAATGCAGTAGGAAAATTTGTCTACCAAATAAGCAAAAGTGACCTAAAGGAAATTCAGAAGATAAAGAAAACAACTACAGCTTTGAAAATAGTCCAAATCCCAAAGGAAAGAACCAGAAAATGTATGACTAGACAACAAGAGCATATAAAACCAACAGGACTCAAAAATAAGTTAGGAACAAATTAAATAAAATTTGAAATAAACAGAATTCAAGACTGAATATGTGTCACAATGTGTACAGAAGCCAAATGGAAAGAAAAGAAAATTCAAAAAATTTAGACAGAAATTTAAAAAGAGAATAAGAGATTTAGTAAAATAAGAGGGAAAAGGCTGGCCAATAGGATCAAATATATGACATTTTTGGAGTCTTCAAAAGGCAAATTAGGGGCTGGGGATTTAGCTCAGTGGTTCTGGCGCCTGCCTTGCAAGCGCAAGTTCCTGAGTTTGATCCCTGGTACCAAAAAAAAAAAGCAAACTAAAGCAAAACATAGAGCAAATATTTAAAACTGTAATCCAAAAAGACAATCCTGAAAGTTTAAAAAACATTAAGTATTTAAATCTATCTTTGGAAGTATATCATACACCTCCTAGATAATAATTTAAAATAAATCATGAGAATTTAAGGGTAAAAATAAAGTTGGGGAAGTTGGCCTAAAACTAAATCAAGGCAGATGTAGCGGTGTACATTGAATCTCAACTACCTAAGATGTTGAGGCAGGACTATCACAAGTTCAAGACCAGCTTGAGAAACTTCACAAAACCCTGTCTCAGAATTTTAAAAAATAAATAAATAAAAGATCTGGGGGTCTAGCTCACCAGTAAGGCTTTCCTAGCATGCATGCAGTCCTGGGTTCAATCCCCAGTATGGCAAAAAGAAAAAATCTAAGTCAATCATAAAGAAAAGAAAATCAGACAGATACCAGATTTTTGACAGCAACATAGCAACATTGCATTTTTAGAAAAAAAATGAACAGCATTTTAAAGATAACCAGGGAAATAAAAAATGGTCAAAGGATCTTACATTCTACTAAACCATCCAACTACAAAAGTGAAATATAAAGTCATTTAAAAAAATATCATTCTAGGGTCCAGGATTTAGGTCAGTGGTTCTGTCGCCTGCTTTGCAACCTCAAGGACCCAAGTTCAATCCCTGGTACCAAAAAAAAAAAAACATTATATAAAAAAATTTTGTGCTACAGTACTATTATTTCCTGAAGAATGTATAATAAACTATAGGCAACTTAAAATGATTAGAACAGCTGTGGCATAAGATCTAGGGATAAGAATTTAACAGATTTGTAGAAATAAGCTCAAAATACATAGAAAAAAATCCAGAAAATACTATGAATAGGATATATACTCTAAAAATGTAGAAATAGTATTTATTTATTTATGGTACTGGGAATCAAACTCAGGGCCTTGTTCTTACCAGGCAGGCACTGCACGGCTGAGCTATATCCCTGGCCCTAGAAATAGTATTTAAACAAAGAAGAAAAAAAGAAAAAGATGGAAGTATTCATTGAAAATTAGAAAAAAATTGATTTCTTCAACAAATAATAGCTGAAAGTTAAAAGGGTTAGACTTAATGATAAAAAAAAAAGTCAAATAGAAATGAAAGTATAATTTAGACCTAAAGTTGTCAAAGGGCCAAATCTGGTCTACTGCTTATTTATGTAAGTAGTGTTTTATTAGAATACAGCCAGACCCATTTATTTAGATATTGGCTATGGTTGCTTATGCACTACCATGGCAGAATTAAAAGTTGGGACAGAAACTGTTGGCCCATAAGTGTAAAATATTTACTATCTCATCTTTTCCAGAAAATATTTTCTGATCATTCTTTTATGCTATGAACATATCCAATAAAATAGTGAAAAAATTAGAGAATGTGAGAGGGAAAGGAGAAGAGGAGGGGAAAAAGCAAATAATAGCTAACTTTCATGAGTTACTGCTAACAGAAAAACAACATTTGGAATCTAGAGAATAAATGGTTAATCCAGCCCCTCAGAGAAAGAAATGCCAGAAAGGGGCTAGAAATGCAAGAAATATATTAATTTTAAAAGTGTCTATGAGAAAAAATGTGGAGAAAACCAGCAGTGTCTAGAGCACTGTGAGACAATAGTACAGGCCCAACCACAAGTGAATGAGCAACAAAACAAAAGAAAATGAGTAAAAGAATATTAGACTGCAGTGGAATTCTTAAAAAATATAATCAAACAACACTTTAAGGAGTCCCCAAACCAAAATTGTTTTTCACAGGCATCCTTTGTCTCCCAGACATGGGTCTGCCTTGATACTCCTACTGGAAACCATAGGCTTGGCAGCATTCCAAAGATGGGTTTCAGGAATGCAGCAGCTAAAGCCCTCAGACAGCTTTACTCTTGCATATGTCAGAGAGGGATGCTTTCTTTCAGGTGCCACAGCCCATCCTTTTGTCCATAGATGCAGTAGAACTCAAGGAGCAGCTCTTCCATAATCCCTCCAGGTTTCTCCTGCAATTAGGAAATTTACAAAAGGGAAAGGAGTTGGCAACTTGCTACAACCAGTAATCTCCCTCACTCTCCTCAACTTTCCATTTGAATGTGCTCTCACTCTCTGCTATAATCTCAGTAGGTCTTGACAACCTGGTGATTTGATCCACATAATGAAAGATATAGGCATAATCATTCATTCAGATGGGTCAAGAGGTAAGAACTAAAATTTTATGCAACTAGAACAAGAATAAAAACTATACTTAATCACAGTAAAAATTCATTAATTTTGTGGTGTTTTCTCAAAAAGCATTTATTTGTCAGTATCTGATGGTGAAAACATAGAAGTTAATGGGACACTTGGCCACTTGTTCTGTGGTATGTGAAATTATTTCTTTTACAACTTGGATTTCTCCATCAGGAAAGACTAAGTTATGCCAAATTTATACATTCATCTGTGACCCAAATGACTGAATGTAATATATGAACATTTTTGCTATTATAAAATGAAACAAAAATACTTTTGAGTAAAGAGGGAAATCTGACTCAATTGTGTCACTTGAGCTCCTTGTAGGAGCTCTTCTAAGGCAAGCTCATAAGAATTTACAAAGGTGTGGGCAGGGTCCAAAGAGAAGAAGCAGGAATGGTGAAGCACCCCAGGACTAGCAAGTGTGAAAAACAGTTACCATTGTGAGGCCACTTGGACTCCAGAACCACCCTGAAAGAGCTATCATCTGAGGACTCTGCACAGCCAGGCCATTCAGCAGGAAAGAAGCTAGGGGAATAAACACCTAAACCTCACGCTCTTTACTTCAAATCTTCTCTCCTCTCAGGAATAGGAACAGAGGCCAGAGAGCCCAATGATGCAGTTTAAAGCAGTAAGGTGAGACTGGTATTGGGTCTTCTCTCAGAGAACGATAGAGATGAGTTGAGAACAAACATGGGGAAAAGCAGAGAATAACCAGTGTCCCCAAAATATAATGCACCTTATTTGATGAGCTAATAGCATTAAGGTTGTATAAGAATGGCTTCCTTATTTTTAAGGAGATGTACCAAAATTTGTAGGAATAAAATGGCTCTGTATCTGGGGCATCCCTTTTAAAACTTCAAACTAAATGAAATACAAAAAGGGTAGATGAAGCAAATATGGCAAAATTTGATAACTTTGACTCTAGATAATGGACATATGGAGTTTTCAGGGATGCTCCTATTTTTGAATGTCTGAGTTTTCATAATAAAAATAGAATGCTTAAACATAATGACATGCAAACAATATTATTAAAAATATTTACATCAAATATATGAAGTTATAAAATTAATAAAAATGCAAAAGAATAAATGTGCAAATATATAAAGTTTTCAAAAAGGGAAACAAATACCTAAAAGAAATAAATTGAAAACCTTTATTTTTAAATGAAAAGTATGCATACTCATATGCATTTGGGGGTTTGGTGTTGCCTTCTTTGTTTACCTCATAGTTGGGGTGAAATGGATGCTGTTTATATTTTTCGTGAAAGAGAAAATCATTGCAGTCTCACTGGAAAGCAAATTATTTGGCAATAGGCACCAAGATGTAAAAAAGTACTTATGGGAAACTAGACCTCACAATAAATGTACATACAAAAATCACTTTATGTTACTATAGTATTTTAAAAGGCAATTTTTAAGAAACTTAAAAAATTCTTGGGAGGAAAATAAAACCTAGTAAGAAGTGATTTTAATTTAAATATAAAAAAATTCAAGTGACTCAGGAAAGATGATTCACAGCTCTTAGGTTCTTTCAAGTCATCTGAGACACTTCTAAAATTTCTGTTATTATGATAATTTGGCTTAATCAACATAGAGTATTCTGTAGATATCTATTTAATATCCAAAATATCCATCAGACCAATTCTTTCTGTTCCAAGAATTTTCCACTCATTCTTCTAGAAGAAAGAACACTTTTACTTAAGTTGGTTATAAATTATTTTTGCCTTATTAAATATGCAACACAACAAAACAAAAACATTTCAGAACACAAACCATAAAATGAAACCTTCAATTACTATACACTTCCCCAAACCCTATTCCTTTTCTCAGAGAAAATCTCAAAGCATATCATTCCAGAAGTTTTATACATATGTACTTTATATGTGTGTTTGTATATAACCATATGTATTCATGTTACATAAAGGGCATGTCTACATACATGCATATTATTATATGTACATGTATACATGTTTGGATAAGTACATATGTGTCTGTATACATACAAAAACAATCCAAAATTTAATCATTTAAAATTACTTTCCATTTTCAAAGATTTCATCAATTTATAACCTATCAACAGTGTTAGATCACTTGCTGGCCAATATTATCTATTAATTAGTTCAAATTTTGTCAATCTTATGAAAGTAAAATATCTGTATTTAAAAGGGTAACAATTTTCATATTTTTGTCCATCATCTGTGCATCTTCAGTAGTAAATTGACAATAATCTATTATTGATTTTTCTATTTATTTTTTCCTTTTGATATTCAGTAGGTTTCAATGGAGGATTTATGTATACTTATCCTTTATCTATTGCTGTAGTATCAATATTTGCTCCTACATTTTTTGTTTACATTTACTTTAGTGATGACATCTTTGTTGTAGATGTGTTAAATTTTCATATAAAAGGTAAATTTCATTGAAGGCAAATTTGCTAGTTATCATGGTTTGTGTCTAGATGTTCCCCAAAAGCCTCATGTGGTCATAGGCTATTTTGGAGGTGGCTGAATCTGGAGTGTGTGATTGATTCATGGTGAGGGCTAGGCCCAAGGGCACTAGGACTAAGGGTGTGAGTGCTACCAGCCCTAAGTAGTCAAAATAAGATAAAAGGGACAGAAAGATGCTGTTAAGGCCCCTCTTGCTTTGCTACCTTCTGACCACCATGAACTGTTTCTCCTCTGCAAGGCCTGTCATGCCACCCTGCCTTGAAGCCAACTGATTATGGACTGAAACCTCTACAAATTGTAAGCCAAATAAGCCTTTCCCCCTTTAATTTCAGGTGTTAGGAATTTTGTCTTAGCAATGAGAGAAAAGTAACTAAGACACTAGTCATCTTTTGAAAATTTTGATATTATATGAGTTTTATTTTTATATTTATGTTATATTTAATTTTATATTTTATATGAGTTTTATTCTGAAGATAATTTGACACTGATATTTTTAAAATAATTGCCATTATCTCTCCCTGTATTTTTATCACTGGCTTACACATTATATTTTTAAGTTCTTAAATATAATTTCCAAGAAAAATGCAATTTATCTGAATTTTTATATTCACCGACAAACAATATATCTATTACAATATTGCATAACAATAACAATATACATAACAATATTACATAATGTTTTAATCGCTTTGACCTTGATGCATAAATCCTCTCCTAATTTTTACAACTAGTGGTGTTCTATATTTAGATAGATCATACTTGCCAAAGTCAAAACTATTTTATTGGTCTTTTGAAGAATCGGCTTTCTTTCTTTTTTTTTTTTTGCTTAAATTCTTTTATTGGTACATTTTAGGTATACAATACATTGGGTATTTGTACCTGTACACGATGTATCTTGGTTCTTATTTTTTCCCTATTCCCTGTCCTCCCTTCACCACCTCCACCCAACTTTCTTTCTTTATGGTTCAAGTCTACTTCATTAATTCTTGCCTATTTTATTTATTCCTAGTTCTACTGTCTTTGAGTTTCTTTTGTCATTTTACTGATATATCAATGAATGTTTCCCCTTTATTCAGGTTTTCTTATTATCTAATAATATTTGTACTCAAACGGATCTAACTAATGTTTATACTCATTTAAAGTTTCACAATAGAAAATCTCAATGTATTTACATTTTCACAATTGATGTATTTGATTTTATACTATTACACATTCTCTTTATGTTGTGATTATTTTTGCCCTTGTGATTTAAAAAGTAAGTGTCTAGGGTGGGGGATTTCCTCAGAGGTTCCACAACCTGCTTTGCAAGCAAAAGGATAGGAGTTCAATCCCTGGCACCAAAAAGAAAAAGAAAAAAAAAGTAAATGTCTAATTTTTATTATACAGATGTTAAAGTTTTATTTTTAAAATACTGTATTAAAGTGTTTCTAATTATGAATATCAATAATTTCAGAACATATCCTGATCTCTTCTACTTAAAATGAGTATATTACTATACTTGTTTATTTCACTTTTACCTTTCACATTTTTATTTTTTCTTATATTCTGTATTTAAGCCTTCCTCATTTTTAAATCATTATTATAATTTTGCTAAGATACTGTTGTCCTCTATCATCAGGTCTTTTTCTTAGCATCATGTGAAAATTTTTTTTGTCTCAGTTAACTTGAATATGTGTTTAAAGTCATAGTTGTTTGATTTTAGACTAAAGCAAATGATTGCCTTTTAGTATTTCCCTTCCCTTTTCCCATGTGACAGGAACTTGCCTGGACCCAGAGTTCTGAAATCACAGCATCCTCCCATCAAACCTCTTACAGTAGAGCTTGCAACCTCATGGGTCAGGACCCAGTGACAGGTGCATTGAGAGGGTCTGAAACCACTGCAGCCCTCAAGGTGGCTGAGTGAGCCCCTTGCAGTGACCACCATGGTAGTCAGGGCCTGTGGGACAGTTTCCGTCACTGTAGTATGCATTTCCTTCACCCTACAGCCTGTGTGTTTCTTCTTTCTGTAGAACTTCCAGAATTTATCAGATTGTGTCTCTATTCAGTATTTTCTAGTTAAATTTGACAATTCATAGAGCCATTTGAACTACAAAATAAGCTTATTTTTTAAGTTGGAATATATTCTCTGATAATCCTTTTGCATGTATTTTCCAGTCATTTGCTTTTTATCATCTTTAGAAACAAAAACAAGTTTCTATATTTTGGATCTTTGTTGTTCATCTTTTAACATTTATATCGTTTCCATTAGCTGTTTTCACTTTATTTTTCCACTGCAAAAAGAGAAGTTTCCTTAAAGCCTAATAAGCTAAATTTTTATGTAACTCTGGATTGTTTGCAATTTCAGTCTTGTTCTTTACTTTGTCTGCCACAGGTAGAAAATTATTTTTTCACATTTTAATAAATTTTCTAACTTACTGTGTCTCAACAGCTTCAGATTACATTCTGTCTCTTGGGCCATGAATGTTTTCACCTTTATTGTCTTATGTTCTATTCTACAGGTATATCTTATTTTATGAAATGTTATAGAATCTAAAATTGTATATAGATTGGTGCTATAAAGCATATACACTTTCTTGACCTCTTAACACTTTTCTGCATTCTTTTTGTTACCAAAGATTTTCATATGTCTTATATTGTTGTTTTTTCTTTGTATTTTACAGAACAGTGAGAATTCCATACAGGCATCTATTCCCTCCCACAAATAGATAACTAAATTATTTTGAAACCTCTTACTTTCTAATTTAATGTCACTGGTTTTCTTCCATTTCATTCAAAATTGAAGAGTTAATAAATAGCCTATATTTTCAGTTATTTGGAAGTCTGAGGAATACAGAGAATGAATTGCTGGCAATGCACCTTTTCGTGTTTTTTTTTCAGTGTTTCTATGACTAGGAAAGATCTTAAACTATACACCAGAAGGAGCATCCTAGTGTTGTCATCAAGTACCTCAAGAAAAACATTAATCTGTATTTCTTTTAAAAATTTATCAAAATTTATTTTTGTTCACTGTCTACCTAGTAACAACCACCTAAGCCCCAGCCTTCTGACATTTCTACCCTCACATTCCGTCTGGTCTCCTCCAAGTGACTGCCCTCATCCACAACAGTGAAGGACTCTGCTGTTTTGAACAGATACTCATTTTCTTTCCCAAAGGAAATGTATGTAGCTTGAGACCATAACACCAAGCAAAATAAGTCAGATACAGGTCAAACACAGGATGATTTTTCTTATATGAGAAACCCAAAGTGTAAATATTTTAAAAGACTAAAATAAAGGTAGATGTTAGCAAACAGGAAAGTAGACTTTGTGGAAATAGGAAGGAGCTCTTAGAATGAGGAATGAGAGACAAAGAAAGAGTGAGAAAAAGGAGAAACAAAAAGGATCAAGATACAATATTCATAGGTACCAATTTCTAGAACCTGAGCCTATATTGCATCTACTACCAGTGACTGGCCTTATGAATGTCTTGCAATTAAACGATAAATCTTGTCTTCTGTCTTTTGTGCCCAAACACTGCTAGAAAAATATTTTTGCAGTATTTAGCCTCTTACTCCCTGCATGATGGATGGATTATTTTAGGATGTCTAGTGTTTAGTGCAGGAGACCGCACTGAAAAGGCTTTATATATTATTGATTTGGCTTATAATTCAGCTATTGATTAAAATTAGGAGTCATTTCAAGGCCTAAGTGTGAATTGCTAAATGAGCTCTTGGCTGGTGTATGGAGCCAGTGCCAATGGTCACACTGGAGGTCTCAGTGATCGATGAGGTTGTGATGTCTCTACTAGCAAGGAAACACTGCAGCAGAGGAAGTATGACTCTGTGAAGCCATTCTCCAAGATCAAACACGAGCTAAAGACAATGCAGGTGTATTCTTAGCTACAACTTTGTAAGATAGCACAGGTGGCTTGTTAACCATGAACTGGTCTTCGTAAGTATACCTCATTACTCCCCTTTTCCAAGCCTGGCTCATTAGCGCATTATTTCTGCTATTCCTTACATCTGCCTTCACATCTCCTTGCTGTGTTGTATAATCATAAATACTGACTAATCCAGAGATCTTGGTCTTAGCCAGGAGAGCTATGATAAGTCTTAGCCAAGATAGAGCTAAGATCAATTCCAGGACCCTCAAGTAATAAGCTATGATTCTTTATTCTTTACTCCTTGTTCTTTGTATATTATTCTTTCATCCTCTGCTATACCCCCAATCAGGCAATCAGCCATCCCCTGATAATTAACTGGTGGTTGGGCTATCAACCCAACATTTAGGATCCCCATTTCAAATGAAGATCCATACCAATGACCATGGGGAACTCAAAATTTGGAGCTGAAGTGATTAAAGTTTAGAACACAGATAGATCATATAGATCATGTCATCTGTTTTAGTCCATTTTGTGCTGGTAAAACAGAATACCAGACACTGGGTAATTTGTGAAGAAAATAAATGTATTTGACTCACAATTCTGGAGGCTGGGAGTTCAATATTGAGGGACCACTTCTCGTGAGGCATCATAACATAGAGAAAGGCACCGCATGGAAAGAGCAGAGAGGGCCAAAGGAGGCTGAATTCGCTTTCATAACAAATCTTCACTCTCAAAAATAAACATAACCCCACAATAATTAATAATGTTAATCTATTCATGAAGGCTGAGATCTCATGACCTAATCACATTTTAAAGGTCTCACCTCTCAACATTGGTGTATTGGGGATAAAATTTCCAACACATAAAATTTGAGGGTCACATTCAAACTACACCAGCAACTATATCGTGGTAAAATTTTTAGCACTTCATTTCATCTGATCAATATAGACCTGTCTGCTATATTTCATATAATAAGCGAGAAATCTGTACATACAACTGTATAATGAAGTTGAAACAGGAAGTATGTGTGAGCTCCTACTTGTATTTGAAGTTACTGCAGGGTGTAGAAAGATTTTGCATTAGAGATGACTTAGTTCATTATAGATGACTTAGTCCAGTCAAGTCGAATGCTGGCCACAGTATTTACACAATAATGATGTCTGTACATCTGATGTCTGTACACAATAATAATGTGTCTATACACATGATATGGTATCCAAGAACCATATGTAGTGTGGAGTACTGTACTTGAAATATGCCAGAATGACCTGAGAAGCTATGTTTTAATTGTACTCCACTGTAATTAATTTAAGTAGCCAAATGCATTGAACGTGGTCTATATCACAGCATTGACTTGCTTTAATCAACTTTTGTCAGGTCTTAGAAATTGAAAGAAGCACAAGCCTTCTCTCTCAAGGACTTCTGCATCTTGTCTTTCCACTAGACCATTTCATACGGTCAATGTGCGTTAACTCAGGGATGTAGTATGCTGAAATAGGGTCATTCTGCTTTTGCAGAGAACAGGGCAATTTGATCCTCACCTTGTCTTTTCCTCTCCCTCTAGAGTCCCTTCTATCCATGGAGTTCTGAGATCAATGACCACATCAATGATCTCAATAATCTTTTCCCTTCCTTCCCAGGAAGTGGCAAAATTAGTTTTCATGAAAGAAATTCAAGCCTCTCATTGTGTTGTTTTTGAATGTATGAGGAGCCTCTTGGGAAATACATTAATTAAACCCAGAGAATATCGCTGTACAGAAGTTACTACTTCTCCATTTCATAGATGAAGAGTGGGCAGAAAAAATTAATAAAGACTATGAGAAAATATTTGCTCAGAGCCCCAGCTGGACTCAAAGTCAGTTTTAAGGTCTGTGAATTTTCCTCTCAATCTCAGACCTATCCTCTCTGTATTTACTGTTATGACCATAAATCATTTTCATTAACCATAAGCACATGGCACATAGTAAATCTATTCTCATAGCAAGAAACAGATTTCTCCATCCAAAAATAGGTAGATAAGATAGAACATAAAATTATTGTTAGCCACTTTATCCTGTAAATTCCAACAAATCTATTTTATAGGCTTACTCCATGGAAAGGGTTTAGAAATACATGTTAGTGAACAAACGAATTGTTATTTCTCTTTCTACTCTAGTTTAGCCAGATGGAAAATATCATCAAACCAATGAGCTTCTTACATAATTTCCAAATCATCCACACAGAAAGTGGATACTTCTGCCTCCAAATCTCTATCACCTACAGAGTCTGCCAAAGGTAGCTATATACAACAATGTGTAGGCGGATGGGGGCTTGTATCTATTTAGGGAATCTCTAAGTTCATAAGGAAGAGAGGAAGTTGCTTTTCTTTTGAGAAACAGCTTTGAAGATTTCATTCCAGAGGAAAATCTCAGTTATAAATATCCTCTCTATGCAGTTCTACCTGCCCCCAACCTCTTTTGTGCCTAAATATACTTACTGCAGAAGTCCCTTTTTTCTTTCATAATCCCTAAGGCTCTGCCAAATAGAGTTGCATTTTTGTAACAATAATTCCTATTAAAATGCAAATATCTTTGAAAATAACATATTTTGTCCATTCAATACAATCGTGGCATAAAATTAGATTTTTTGATTTGTGGGGGGGTGTAGGCTAATTATTAAGTGCAGTAGATAAGACATACAAAAAGTAGGCAAGTGGTCCTCTTATTTTACTATACGTAATATCAAACTTTGTATTTTTTTAGAAAGGGAAGATTTTTGGTCTCACCTCAGTGATTCTAACTCAGTAGGTTTTTAGTGGGTCCAGGAATCTACATTTGATGAAGTTTCTCCACAAGTATCTCTAGGTGATTCTGAAGCAGTTCTAAGACTTGGTGTACCCAAGCGATGTGTGCTGCACAGCCTGCGCACCCTCCATGGGCCTGGGAGTCACCCACTTTGATGAGGTCTTGGCTATTTGAATCTTGGAACACTGAGGCTCATAAGGTATGGGCTAAAATTGAAAAACAGATGAATATTGAAATGGACTCTGTGGGAAAGGCATGCTTTGCTAGTTTAAAATTTCATCAAGGTTTGATTTTACATCCAAGAAAAGCGCAACTTCTCTCCTTTAAGTCCTCCTCTTCCTGTTCCTCTTGTTCTTCTATAAAACTACCAGCTCCCACAGCTTGCTGTTTTATATAGTCCAATTTCATATAGACAAAATTGTTTTCTATGTTGCTTATAAATCCATCCATCATTTCTACCATTACTTTCCATAAGAAAACTAATAAAGTAGAAAAAATGCAATTACCCCCTCCCAAAAATAAGGACTTAAAATTTATACTAAGAAGGAAATTAAACTGAGAGATAGATTAGCAAATGTAAATATATTATTTTAAGATCATGATACACAGTGTATTTACCAAGGTTATTCTTTAATAGTTCTTGTTATGAAAAAATATTTTTTCATAGAAAGGCTTTTATATTTTCTTTATTTATATCTACTTGCAATACATTAAAATAAATTTTTCAAATAAGAAATTAGACAGGATTCAAGAGAAAAAGAAAATTCAACTCAATATTTTCAAGAACTAACACATATACTATGTTGTCCCTTCACACATTCCATTGATTAAGAGCAATTGAGGAATTATTGCTACATTCTAGGCTTACTTAACTCTTTATGCTTGTTCCTTTGAATGTGCTAATTGAAGCTCTATAAATTTTAAAGTAATATAAATTTATAGTCAAACACAAGAGAATATCTTAAAGGCAGTTGTGAATGAATTTTTGATTCTTCATTTATTCCTTTAGGTCAAAGGTAGTGCCTTTCTTCCTTTGTATATAATGTGTGACTTTCAGAATGGCAACATCAGTATGTCCTGGGAGTGTGTTAGTCACCAGAATTACTCACCCCACCCAAGATAAACTAAATACAAATCTTACTTTCATAAGGTATCTAGTGATGGCATGCACATCAGCATTTGAGAAGCATCATTTTATTTGACAACAAGAATTGTCTCTGAGAGAACACAGAGCCAGGATGTTAAAAATTCTCTCCAATGATGATGATGTGACATATTTTGAGTCTGGGTCTGAAAATACGCATAGAGATTATAGCTTTAAAAGTGATTTTCACAAATAAATCAGTTTTTATGAGTGCTTGTTTCTACAGAGCAAAATACATTTTTAACATTTGAAGTCCTATCAAGAACTCTGTAAAGCAAAGTTAAATTTTGCAACTTAATTATGGGCAACCCATTATCATGGGCAGATAATGGCAGAGACTCTTCCAATAGAGGGTGGGAACATGGCACATACTTTCTCAGATTTTTTACACACACATTCAAAAGCAAATAGCAATGTAAAATACATGTTTCTTCCACTCCTACCCAGATAGTAATCCTACTTAGACCGTCTGATTGTTGGACACTTTCAATGAGGTTGCACAGGAAAAAACCATTATGCATCCATGAATCAATTTAAAATTTCCTTTTTGGTTCATTGCTATATCCAAAAGCAAACTTTTTTTTTTAAATTCATACTACAAACTCTAATATCCTACCTAGATGCCTGACATAAAAGACATCACTAAATTGTGAAAATATATACAAAAATAAGGAGGAAGGAATGAATAAAAGATGTATTCATGATTATATGTCTATTTTCTCTTTGTAATATAAAAAATCTATTTCATTTAGTCACTGGCTTCCTAGAAGGCGAATTCCAGATACTCCAAATTGGGGCTTGATTTCTACTACCTTGATCTCTTCACTTGTGGAGATAAGTGTAAGTGACTTGTTTACCATTAAAGAATTTCTGTGCCTCAAGAAACATTTATTTCATGTTATTCCTTAACTGCAGCCCTCTGACAAAGCGATCAGTGAGGGAAAAAAATGCAGAAATTTTTTAAGCCATATGTAAAAGAGTAGGCAGATGAACACAAAGCCATCAGTATAATCTGTAAAAAACCTAAAAACATGTTCCTGTGATGAACTCACAATATATGTGATGAAATGCTCATTTTTACTCACCACAAAAACACTATACTATGTTGTTGACCCAATTTTTGGTCATTTAAATTATGTTATCCTTAATTTACTGATTTCCTCTTGCCAACTTTGCATTTCTTAAGTTTATGACAATTTCTGATTTCTTCTTATATCATTTTTATAAAATTTCTTCCACTTTAACAGTTTCCGCTAAAATTTTTGATCTATTGTTGTTGAGTAACATTTTGTATGTAATCAGCATCTCATGCACGGGACTTGACATTAACAGTAGTATGGAAATGGCATTCATTCATTAGACAGAGGTGACAACTAGTATTATTCTTTGAAAAAATACATCCCCCACGTATATGTGTAGAATAAAGAGAGGCAGATATTTGTGATTCAGCTTATCTAATCTAAAATCATCTATACTATATAAATGGCTATATGTAGTTTGACTAACTGATGAAAAGTAAACATAACTTGACATAAATTTTAATAGAATAAATATAATTTGATTTCATGTAAGACTCTGCCTTTATTATTGGAAGATGGAGCCTAACTACCTTTGTAAATATACAAGGAGATGTATAAGCCACGTGCAGCGTATGCAGCATTCAAGAAGCTAATGCTATCAAAGTACTCCACTGATAATGAAACACAAGCCTCAAAGGACAGTGAGAATATTATTCCATATAATGTATTATGCATCAATAGTTTCAGGCGGCCAAATTCTACCAGCCTCTCAGGCCACAACAACAGAGTGAGTGAAAAGAATATTAAGTATTAACTGATTCAAAAGCTGGAAAAATGAAAGAGAGACCAAGAAGAGCAAAATATCTGTCTCTCTCAGTCAGTTCAAATCAAAAATCAAATCTGTATTTATTGTCATTCAGCCCCACATATTTACTTGTCAAATTAAGACTATTTCAAATCAATCCTTTATTATAAATATCTACATTTCAATTTCAACTATTTAGCAAGTGTATCCCAGATACCTTTAGATTAATTCTAACTGAACTTTTTCCTTCTTCTCGCATATAAAAATTATACTGCCACCAACAGAAAACTTTTAAAAATATTTACTGAAGTCTCTTTGTTCCATATAGTGTCTAGTTGTCATTTTAAGAAAGATACATTGGGTTCATTAGCAGGAAATAGTCAATACTTTCAATTTTTAACACCAAAACTACACCTTAATCTTTAAAATCCCTTTCTATTGATCTTTGTCACATAATATATCCAATAGACATATTTTAGTCAGCTTGAGTTTCTTTCTCATTATTGTATAAGAAATGGATAGACAACTTCTCTAATGCTTCTTACCATAGGAAATACGTGCTTCTTTCTTGTGCACCATATGAAGAATTAATATTGGTCAAATTAACAGAAGACAGGAAAATTTAATACCAGGCAAATTTACAAATACTTGAATGCATACTTTGAAATGGCAATGCTAATGCAGTGTAAGTAGTACAGAGAGAAGTTTTTTTCAAGTCTGTCATTCTCCAAAACAAGACAGACTACCAATTCCCCTATTGAGTTTAGGCATAGTGCACGCTCCTATGTTCTAACATGTAGGGCTTTAAATATGAAGGAGACTTGTGTCTAAATATCAAGTTAATTAACTATACTACCTCAACATTGGTGTGAAGACAGATTAATAATTTCCCTGTGACCTTGCTAGCCTCTACCATCAAAGCTATGAATTCTGAAAGTCTTCTGTTCTTTCCTCCCTGTCTCTGTTTAGTAAACTCAAAATGAATCTCTTCATTGGGTTCCTATCACAATAAATGTGACCATATGTCAGCTTGTCTTTTTATTGTAACTACAAAAAGACAAGAGTCCCATTTATGAAAATAAAGTCTTGCAGGAAAATATCAGTCAAAACTTTGAGGGAAAAAAGGCTTAAAATGTGCACTTATATTACTACCAACATTTTGTAAAATAAATTTGTTGGGTGATGTAAAGATTTCTTTTTCTATTATATTTCACTTTTTAAAAACCCTTAATGTGTTAGGCAAAATGACCTCAAATAGAATCATAGAATAGTGGAATGACAGCATGTGAAGAGGGCATATGTAAATTATTTAAATGTGAGTGTCCAAGGAATAGAGAAGAAAGCTTTTGGACTCCCTGGTTAGAACCTCAGCTCTCTTTTCTATACCTTCTATCTCCTGAAAGTAACTCTCACTCACTCTCCTCTAGCGCCTCTTCAGGGTGATCCAAGAAGCTGAATATTGCCACCCAATACTTCAAGTAGTCCCTACCATGTAAGCAATATTGCAAGTATCATGAGGAAAATCCATCAAAATACAACTAATTAGCTCCTTTTCATTGGTGCGGTACAATGGTAGTTGCATCAGTCTTTTTATGATAAACCAAATGTAAGAGATCTACAACTATTTCTTTTAGACTCACACCTATTTCTTTTAGATCTACACCTATTTCTTTTCTTTTAGGAAAGAGAACACAATTCAATGCTTTATTGTTCAAGCTGTAACAGATTCTTACAAGCTAAACCTAAAGTCATACATTGCACCTAAATTGTTTGAAATGGGTCCTTTTATATAGTAGAGAACAAATGGTTTCCAGGTGTGTCAAAATTCAAAGCTAGAGCTTGGAATTCAGAACTGTTCAGTTGGATTGTAGAATTTGTTGGCTAAGACATAATGAAGATCCCTTTGTTTTTGTATCTTTGCTTCTTTGGAAATGCTCATCCTGGATGCTATGAAATTTCTATAAATTTCTAGAATAATCAAATAGTCCACTTCTTTTAGAAACCTAAGTAAATAAGAAGACACACGGCTTCTTTCATGTGACACAACACAGAGTTCAAAACGAATTTGGGGCTAAACCCTCCTGCTGGCACAGTCGGGGCAGATGGAGGTGAGCAATCTATATCTCCTCTGTGCTCCCATTTCTTTCTATTTTTTGAGCTTTTTCCCCCCCTGTATTAGCAGATGTGTGATATCCTTCTGCCTTGGGAAAGAGAAATATAAAAATACTGCCTATACGTTATTCTATCACAGAGTTCTCTTTCTCAAAACCAGAAAATGTTACAGAACCATTAAAAAATTCAGATTCACACTTTTGTGACAAATGTATCTCAATTTCATCTTATTGAAGACATGCACCAGTTTATCAATACAGAGATAATGTACTGTAGAAGGAAAAATTTAGCATTTTGCTTTGGAAAAATCAGGATCTGAAGTCCAACTTCAGTGCCTACCAACAAGTAATAACATGTCTGATTCTCAATATTCTCCTCCCCCTAATGGTGATAATGCTTAGTTTCCAAGGAAGTTGGGAGGATCAAGACAAAATATATAAAGTCAAGAACACAGTGTTTGACACAGAATACATGGTAAATGAAAGTTCTATTACTGCTGCTGGTATTATAGGAACAAATAATGTTCACACACCCGGGTTTATTCATTAATGTTTCCCAGAAGCTACCTCTAAGAAAGAACATCAAAGAGATAGAGAGGGAGAGAAAAAGAGAGGGAGTAAGACAGAGAGAACTATGAACTACTATAATGACTGATACATATTTATATTATGTTTCTAAGAAGAAGCCCTGTGTTACGATTTGGGTCTGAAACATCCCCTAGAATCTCATCTGTTGAAGGCTTGAGGCCCAGTGCAGTAGTGTTCAGAGGGGACCCTTAAAGGTAAATGCATCATGAGGACTCTGATTTCATTCATGGATAAATCCACTGGTAGAGTCATATCTAAATGGGGTATTTGGAGATGATGGAAACTTTAGAATATGAAACCTAGTTGGAGGAAGTCGTTGGGGTCATACCCATGAAGTATCTCCCTCCCTCTCTCTCTCTCTCTCCTCCACTCAACATGAACTGACCAGCTTTGCTCCACCATGTGCTCCTCATCATGATGTTCAGTCTTTCTCACAAGCCTGCAAACAATGGAGACAGCCAATTTTGGACTGAAAACTCTGAAACCATAAAACTGTGAGTCGAAATGAGTCTTTCCTACTTTTTTTTAATTAAATTCTTTTATTGGTACATTGTAGGTATACAACACAATTACATTTCTCACTGGGAATTGTACCTTTACATAATGCATCTTGGTTCTTATT